CATGAAAGGATCACTGCAAGAGTTTTCTCAACTGATTTCCCAACTGATGACCTGACAGGTCTGCTGGACGATTGGGCATGTGGATGAAGGTGGCAGTGTGGAACAGGAAGGAAAGCCAGTACAGCCTGTGTTTAACTGGAACAATTACTGTCATCCTGATGAAACTTCCTTTAGTGTCTATAAGTATCTGTTACAATTAAGGGTTGAAAGAAAACTGACAAACAGGGCATTGACTCTGAGAACTTCATAGGAACCTCCTCTTCTGACCTGCGTCGTTGGAGGATGAAAATATTCAGCTGCACCGAAAGAAACTGCTGCTTAGATGCATGCAGGAAAGTGTGGTTTAAAAAAATCAAACAGTAACTACCTATACTGTAAATATCTGCCTGCAGTAATACCTGTAAATACCTACCTATAGTCTCTGAACTGTTGCTAGACACATTTGTTACAGAAGCAGTGGGGATTATCCCCAGAGCTAAACTTCCCTTCACTGGAAGGAAGTGGGGTAGAAAAACTGAGCCATGGTATGTAACAATAAAACAGAAGAATAATGGGGTTAGAATCTGAGCTGATTCCACAGTACTAATTCTAGTGTCACTCTGCACACCTAGTATTTCTCCTTTGTCACTAACAGCTCAGTTTATTGATTATAGCACATAGATGTTTTTTTGGGGGAAAAAAAAAAAAAGTCCCTAAGATGTGAGCTACACCACCACTTCAGGAAAACCTAAGAACAAGCTTGTGTTCAGCGGGGCTGTTTCATTCTTTATCAGCCCTTTAAAGTCCCCAAGCTTCATTAATTCTTGGGAAAAAACGTTCATCTTTTTCCTGCCCAAACTTGCTAAAAAAGAGAAATTACAAGAGTAGTCTGTGATGTTCAACCCATCTGTGTCTTCCTTAGGTTCCCAGTTTTTGTCTCCAACACAGAGACGTCATCTGCAAACACTTCTAAACTTTCTCCCTCATTGCCTCTTAAGAGAGTCTCTCCTGGTCATTCTAGCCATTCTGTTCCTCTTCACATTCTCCTTTATCACCGCTATAATACTAACTGGATCTTGCCCATTGATTCCAGCTGGTCAGATGATAAAATGGAACCAAAAGAAAATGAACACAAGCTTGCTGACTCTCATTTTAGCACCTTTAATCCTGCAGGGTTTGTTAGTTTTTTCCCTGACTTTGTAATAGCATAGTAAAAGTAAGAAATCTTATGCTACATTTGCTTGTTATTACCCATGTCCCCTATCCTATGTCTTCCAGCCTGTAAGCATCTTTTAAAAGCTCTTCTACAGAGTCCAGCAATGTGTCATTCAGCAGGCTACCAGCTTCTTTAAATATCGTAAACCAGGTGAGAAGTTTACAATAAAATCATCCTTGTAACTAAGTCTTGTTCATTTTTATAAAATAATTTCCCATTTGCCTTTGTAACAGCCTGCATTGTGCTGCTTGTGCTCAGCATTCTTCCTCATAAGGTGTCTGTCACTCCAATAGTACTGTTGCTGGGGTGGTCTGTCTGACAGCATCCATGTGCTTGATACGGTTTTACCTCCACAGCCAAAGCAAAAAAAAAAACCCAGGACTTCTGTGGGAAAAGTCCTCCTGCTGTGTGGCTTCCAGCCCAGCCACCTGGAACAGTGAAATTGCCCTCTACTCCATTCTCTGAGGTCTCTGTGCCTATTTCTTTGTTTAGAGGTAGTTTTTGAGCTGGCCAGTCTTCCTTTTGGGGCCTTCCCCTCTCCCTGTCTTAACTGAGGTCTATGGTATATGCTGCCGAAATGTCAGTTACTTTCTTTTCTCTATCAAAATACCTCCTGGCATTTGAGGCCAGATTGTTTCTGTTAATCCTTTTTTTATGCCAGCGTGACCTGCCTTCTGGTGCAGCAATCGGGTTCCTCCTGAAGAGATGGGATGCTTCCACAAAGCCTTGTTCCACCAGCTCAGCATCTCTTGTGCACACCAGGATAAGGAAACACACACATAAACCAGGCTAAAAAAGGAAATTAGGTTTGGGGGTGGGAAAAGCAGTGGTTTAACTTTGTCATTGCTGTAACTGGATCCATGCAAAAATTCCTCCTGTTGCAGTGGTCTCAGTGTTTTATGTTAAAAGGTAGCAGTGTTAAATAAACACTGGGCTGCAACAGCCTCCTGGCTTTCTCAAGCTGCGGTTTCCAGTCTTCTCTGGCCTGTGCTTCCACAGAAACCATTTATCACTGAATGCCCAGTAACGGCTAGGTTTTTTTCACTGCTTACTGCTGGTGTGATTTCAGTGATGGCTTATCAACAGTTTAACTGCATGTGCAGAACAACATTATAGTATTCAACACATTTTATGAGCTACAGTCTAAACTCAAATGTTCTAACAGTGTTTTCTTCCACTTCTGCTCAGCGTTAGAAAATGTTTCTTTGCTTTACAGTTTTTAGTCTTTTTTGCTTGAGGAGTGTGTGGTGGAGAGTTGGATTTATGTAATTTATTCACTTAGAAAAGGATGTAAGAAAAATATATATTACATTTTAAAGCATTAGTCTGTTAGAATAGCTCCTTGCTTCCACCTAGGGTTTATTCAGCCATCTTCTCTACTAAAACACCACTTAGCCTGACTAAATAAATATATTTTTAAATGTGCATAGTAGCCAAAACAGAAGATACGATGTGTCACCCTTGCATTTCAAACATGTATACCCAATTTCCCTGAATGCTGTTATAGAAAGAAAAATCTTAATGTCAGAACTATCGTGTTTCCATTTTGATCGGTGAATATACATCATCTTATGTATCATCACTTTAGCTTAAACTTAACTTAAGCAACTTAAACAGAGTTGTTAGGGCTTTGGGTGAAATATATCAGTTTTAATTAATACTCTGAAGTGCAGGCTAGCGTTAGAGGCTTATGCCAAAATACACTCTCCATTTCCTTTTCCTGAGTACAGCTGGAGTTGAGGCACTTTAAAAGAATTTTTGTCTCCACATATCTTTGAGTACACAGAAGATGGTGTATTGTGTTAAAGGACTCCCTTGACTCAAGGAAACATTTAAAATTAAGTACTTTCTATTAATGCCATACAGTTCTGTCATTCAAAGTGTGGCTTATAGTTTCCAAAAAGCATCCTGGATGCTTCAGACAATGTTTTACCTCTCAGGATTGGTCCAGAGTTCAAAAAATCCCATTCATCGAAAGCAGAGAAAGGCCAAAGCCATAAGTGAATCCCTGATTTTGTCACATTGTACTCATTATACAGATAGTGCTTTTGAGGATCTGCTACAATCAATTCCTTCTTGATGCTAGAAGAAGTGATGCATTTGCATCATTATCTGATGCTCTTAATCTCTATCAGATGAGTGGAACGCACAGTATGTGGTGTCTGGGGAAAAAAAAAATCTTGCTAACTATAGTCCAAGATGGCTGTTCATTACACAGGCTTTCACTGATTCAAATAATTGAAACATTTGCAGCTGTCCTTAAATATTAGAGTGAGAGATAGGAAGAAGAGGGCTTTGCTCTTGCAGCTTACAGGGTTTTAAGAACTTTTTCTAACAGTTAATCTAATTGCACTCCTTCACTTTTGTTTCATATCTCATCCTTCAGTTATCTTCTGGGTAAAACTCCCACCGAAATTAAAGGACTCTTGCCTAAGGTAGGACTAGAGAATCTAGCTCATTAATGTTTTGGAATAAAAAGAAAACCCTTGTGAGTTTTGCAAGAAAATCTGGCCTGCAAGTCTAGAAATGGGGTGACCTTTCTATTATTGAAAGTCCTTCTATAAATCCATGGATTTCAGTAGAAGAGGGGAGCTAATTGTCTTTCCACTGGTCGATTGATTCTGTTCCAGGACAGAAAAATCACCTCCAGCAAGCACAAAGCTATTAAAGTTTCCTGGGTCATACAAATGGTGAATTCTGTCTCTCTTTTAAAAAAAAAAAAAGATCTACAACTCCTGTTCTGCTGTGTGAGTCACTACCGTTTTAGCCCCTTCTTTCCAGGTCATTAATTTAATGTCAGTGCCTTTGAGAACTGTTCAGCTCCACCATGTGTTTTGTGCCTCCTATTCCAAAATTAGTTTCTTGGCTTTTTCCCTGAGCGCTGCTGTCCCTGTTGGTACTGCCTCGTATAAAGGTGGTAGCATACCTTGTTTATCCCTTGGGTCTGCTTGGCTTCATTGCATACTTCTGTGGTGGTACCACAATAAGGGATGGTAGGGTCGGGGACAGAGGGCCCTGACTCCTATGTGTAAATGTAGTGAGAATAAGGCAGCTGCTATGCATGACACATTCATAGCCCATGCTGGAGACCCACTTTTCACCTCTAATCTGGGTCAAGACCCTGGGTAAAGACCCACCTCACTCTGCAGTTTTAAAACTTATGCCACAGCATGAATTTAAGACTGATACCACGGTGTCCATGGCTGGCCTCACTTCCCTGGTGCTATCTCTTCCCTGCTGGAAGGAAGCCATCCCAGTAAAAGACTTGAGCACCAGAAGCATTTGCTGGGGGAGCAACAGAGCGTTTTGGAAGCTTTTATCTTTCAGACTTATTACACTAATACTCAAGTCCAAGAGTTGTCGTGAGTTACCTGTTTATGGCAGCCCTGTAGCTAGCTGAATCTTCCTAATGATTGGCAAATTATTCTTAGACTGGTTTGGTGCAAAAGGCAGTTATTAGATACGTTCTAAAATATTTTTAAAAGATAAAAGAACCTAAATAGTCCTGAAAGTGGTGAGTGGGAGCTGTCAAGGAAACAACTTGCTAATGGAAACACAGCATAATTAACTCCCTTATTTAAATGACTTGCCAGTAAGTTATTGGGAAGAGCTGATAAATAAGGGACTGCAGCAGCAGAAAGTCTTTGCAACAGTAACTGAGTGATGCAACCTTTCACAAGTGACCTTATTACAGAGAAATTAGCTTTGAGACAGAGACAAGGATAGTGGTCGTTTGACAGAACATAAGGTCAGATTCACTACAGAGTTTATTAAACTGTTTTGTCTTTCTGTGGTTTTTGGCCAGCAGCAACGTGCTTGCAGTATATTCCCCGACTCCTGGATACGCTGAGCAAGCTCTGGAGCACAGGCAGCGCTTTGGAACCAGGCAGGTTAGTGTGGCTAAAAAGGCAAATGCCAAACCCTTTCCTGTCATTTTGTGTCTCAGGAGTGTGCAGCCATGTCACAGTTATCCTGGTTCTCCAAGCAGCCACACCATGGTGATCACTGGAATAATAATGGATGAGTATGAATCAGAAACATCTAATAGCCCTTTTAAGTTTGCCTTTAGGGCTTGGTTTTCTAGGCTGGAAGCTGAAATGAGCCTGCCGTGCTAGATGTATCACTCTGCACTCTGCAGAAATAATCCTGCTGAACCAGAGGCTGAACTCACAGTGTGACAGTTTAGGATTTAGTTCTTGATGGGATGTTAGGGCCTATTAGTATTGTTTAAACAGCAGCAATGGCCAAATGCTGTACAGACATGGGAAGAAGAAAGTCTTTGCCCTGAGGATCTCGCAAACTAAATGGCAAAGTGAGGAAAAATAAAGACAGCATGGAAGCAGATGCATGGCAATTAGCTATGGGTTAATAGTTCCATTGAAAATACTTTCTTAAATTAATTTGCTGGATTAAAATACTTGCTTAAATCAATTTGTTGTCTCTCAGACCTGCCATTAGCTGGTTAGTGCCATGGAAGTGTCATGGCTAGGGTCAGTAGCGAGTGAATTTTCAGCTGTGAGAAGGCAGTAGCTATGGGAATCGGTTATAGAATCAGGAATCATGACTTCGAAGGTCTCTAGTCTCACCTCCTGCTGAAAGCAGGGCCAACACTGGATGCAGACCAGGTTGCTCACAGCTTAAGCCGGTCTGGTCTTGAAAACTTCCAAGGCTGGAGATTTCACAGTCTCTCTGGGCAAACTGTTCCGTTCTTAATTGCCCTCCACAGATCCCGTCTGAACCTTCCCCTTTGGTTTTTATGACCATTGTCTCTTATTCTCCCACCATGCACATAGTGAAGAACCTAGCTCTGCCATCTCAGTAACCTTTTCTTCAGCTGGAAGGCTGCTACTGAATCCCCCCCAAGCTTTCTCTTCTCCAGGCTAAACAAGCCCAGTTTCCTCTGCCTCTCCTCATAGGGCAGGTGCTCCAGACCTCAACCCTCCTGGCTGCGCTCTCTGGAGTCACTCAGGTGCCAGCTAAAGGAGAACAATCACTCACTGCCTGTGGTTACTGTTGATGCACCCCAGTGTGCTGTTAGCGTTCATTACTTGCAGAGCACAGCACTAGCTCAGGTAGGATTCCTAGATCCTTTTCAGTAGCACTGCTCCCCAGTCACTTAGTCGCCAGCCTGTACCAACTCCCAGGGTTAGTCCATCCCAGGTACAGGAATTTGCATTCATCTTTGCTAAATTTCCTTTCAGTCCATTCCTCCAGCCCGTCTAAGTCCCTATGAATAGCAGCTGTGCCTTCAAGTGTATTGGCAAACCCTCTGGTTTGGTGTCATCTGCAGCCTTGATGAGTGGACATTCTGTCTCCTTCCCCAGGTCATTGGTAAAAAGTATTAAAGAGGACGTTTGAAATTAAATATTAAACACTAGCCCTTGAGCCTGACAACCCAGCCAGTTTTTTCACCCATCTAGTAGTCCACTTATCTAGATTGTAACATCACAACTTAGATACAGGAATGCTCTGGGACACTGTAACAAAAACCTTGCTAAAAGGTGGATCCTAATAGTGGGACAGCTAAAAGATGGTCTGTTCTCACAAGAAGGCAATCAGTTTGGTTATACATGACCTACCCTCATTTGATCAGCACATGCTAAATGTCATGTCCTTTGCCTAGAAATGTGTTCCAGGAAGCACATGATTTTCCTGGGGACCAAAGTGAGGAGCAAACTGGCTGACCAGCCTGTAGTTCCTCAGGTTGTCTCACTTGTTCTTTCTGAAGATGCTGCAACATTTGCCTTTCTCCAGTCACCAGGGGCCTCCTTTGATCTCTGTGACCTTACAAAGGTGCTAGGGAGTGGCCTCAATATGACATAAGTCAGCTCTCTCAACAGTCTTCAGTGCAACCTATGAGGACCCATGGATGTGTTCAGGAGAAGCAGGCTAAGTCAGGAGAAACATCCTGAATTCAGGGGCATGGAGGAAAAAACTGAAATGTTTGTTAGAGAAGTGATCTAATGTCAAACTACAACATGGATGGATATTTCTTTCTACTTTTGCTACTGTGTCACTTTCATGCAATTAAGCAAGAATCTAATTCCTTCTTGGGTTCACATCTATTAAAACTGCATTTCAGATTTCAGTTTTATTCTTAAGTGTGGAAGAGCAGGGACTGTAGGTCAAGCTGAATTCCTGTTGGTGAATGATTCTAGGTATCACATCTTGCCAAAACAGGATCCCATTGCCACCTCACAGTCTATGTGGATCCAGTCTGCTTTGCTTCTATTACTAGACCATCCCAGTTGGTTCAAATATTTAACCCTTTATCCTTTTCAATTCAGGATTTGTCTTCACCCCTCCCCCCAATGAGTAGCATGTTTTGCTCCTGTTCTGCTGGTCTGTGAATTCATTGTTTGCAGGCTGGCAAGGCACCCGTTCTGGGGTGACAGATGGGGCAGACTGTAAACCAGGCAGTTGCCTCCCAGCCTGAATGATATTTTAATAAGCACAGGGAGGTGACAGAGGGAGAAGCTTCGCACTGGAATGAGTGGCAGTTTTGTTTTCAGCCTGAAAGCACTAATAGATGATTTTTGGCCTCAGTCCAAAAAAAAAAAAAAAAAAAAAAAGAGAAAATCCCATTAGCTCCTAACTTATCCCTCTTTTTAAGGGTCAAAGAAGTTTTTTCTCTCCAGTCTATTATCCAGATAGGGAATCTTTCCCTGTTATCAGTATTTCAGTTCTGTCTCAGGGATCCTATACTTTGCGAGACTTGCATTTTATTTATCTTTTGTTTTGCTTCTTTTTTTTTTTTTTTCATTTTCTCTGTTGTCTTCCTTCCTTCCCTAAACATTCTCTCTTCTTCTCGTTTCTTTACACTCTTCACAGTTTCATGGTGAAGTCTGTCTGAATAATGGGATCTACCAACTTGGTTTCCAGCTTCTGCATCCTGTGAAACAGCTAGTGCAGTGTTAGCCAATGGCATCTGCATGGGAATCTCTAGAGCATATGTCCTCTTCTCCCTGCCCTTCAGCTGTATCTCAGATATATAATACAGGGTCTGTGCAGGGCTTTGTTTCATCCTTGGTCTAATGAATAAAAGCACTACAAAAGGGAGCTCTGGCAAAGCCCCAGTAAGCTCTGAGATCCCTCTGCTTTGTGAGCAACACAGTGTTTTGCAGACAAGCTGTAGGATAGCAAGGCTTCCAAAGAAGAAGACTTTTTTTTTCTTCCTATGAGAACAGGGAAAAAAGGTCCAGCTCTCACTAGGAAAATACCAAAATGGTGCTGAGATCTGAACTGAGGTATGGTCCCATACACTGATAAGAGAATGCACTTCAAACTTCTCAGTATTTGGACATAGACCTTCATATCTATTTAGCAAGATTCAGGTCTGGTTTTCAACTGGAGTATGAGCTGGAAATTAATGGGATTCCTGCTAAAATATGCTTCTTGTTCCTTTCAGATACAATGATGACAGTGAAGGTTCAGGTCCTGTTTGGCTTCCTTTGCTGCATGATATTTCTGCCTACAGATGGCTTCCCAGCAGACACCAGTACTGAATTTCGCTCTGCTTTCTCTGTGGCCAGAACCAGCAGCATGGAAGGGAGCTCCGAGATGGTCATTACCTTTGACAAAGTGTATGTGAACATTGGCAATGACTTTGATCCCAAGACTGGATTGTTCCGCTGTCGGATCCCTGGAGCCTACTACTTCTCCTTCACAGTTGGGAAATACCCAAAGAAAAACTTGTCTGTCATGCTGATGAGAAACAAGAATGAAGTGCAAGTGATTGTGTATGATGAACATCACCGCAAGGAAAGGAAGGTAGCCAGCCAGAGTGCCATGCTCCAGCTTGACTACGGTGACACAGTTTGGCTGCGGTTACATGGAGATCCCAAGTATGCTCTTTACAGCAACGTGGGCCCCTATACAACTTTCAATGGCTACCTAATCTATCCCGACACTTCTGCCTTCTTCCAGAATGCTCTTAGCTCTCAAGAGCTGGGGCCACACCATCGCACTATTCAGCAGCTTCCTGGAGAGCGGAATGAAGCTTCACATCAACGTGTGTTATCTGATCAACCGAACAGGGAACAAGACCCTCGCTCTGCATTTTCTGTTGCCCGCTCACAAAGTCTCCTGGGGACAGATGACAAGCAAACTCAACATGAGCCAATCACATTTGACACAGAGTTTGTGAACATTGGAAAAGATTTCAATTCCTCCACCGGTATCTTCTCATGCCGTATACCTGGTGCATACTATTTCTCCTTCACCATCGGCAAAATGCCCTTTAAGACTATGTCAGTGAAACTTATGAAGAACCACAATGAGGTGCAGGCCATGATCTATGATGACAACCACTCCAAGAGGCGGGAGATGCAGAGCCAGAGCATCATGCTGCCTCTTCAAACGGGGGACACCGTTTGGCTCTACAGCCATCAGCACGATGGCTATGGTGCCTACAGCAACCATGGCAAGTACATCACCTTCACAGGCTTCCTGATCTATTCAGAGGCTCAGCCAAAACGGCTTCCAGGTGCCAGCTCACCCCAAGGGTCAAATAATTAAACGCACATGTGAAAGGAGCATAAGAAAAGCCAAGGTGCCATGAACTTGGATATAGCTCCTCCTCGAATATCATCCTCTACTTTGAGCATGCTACCATGTGTCCAGTGCTCTCCTTACGCTGCACGCTTGTGCTCTGTCTGCAGGGCCGCTGCTGTGTCTGCCATTCATCCGTAGAAAGGTCTTTACAGGTTGTATGTGTGTGTCCTGTGTTGGTGTTTGATTTAAGCATAAAGCATGAGGTAGTTGTGGGGCAGGGGTGGGGCAGTGTAGTGAGATGCTGAGGATCAGAGAAGCACTGCGGTAATCTCACTGCAGATCCCCAGCATCCAGAAAGCAAAGGAGGTGGCGACTTTCCTTGCATATGTGGGGAGGGAATAAATGTAATGGAAATGAATGTATTAAAAATACAAAAGATGTAACATTTTCTCGGATTGGAATTTGTTGTTACTTGTGAGACTTGTGTGCTTGTCACTGGCTGAGGTACCAGTTCAGGAGAGACAGAAGCACGGTGATCGTATGAGCTGCAGTATGTGTTACTGAGACAGTCTGTGTACACTCTTTTTTTATCATTCGTGTGTGTGAAGTGTTGGTACCTCTTACAATTTTATTGCAAGTTTCACAATATTTGGTGCTTTTCTTAATTTCACGTTGGCAAAGGCAAGAAACTGTGTTTGAGAATCTCAGCTTCCATTTAATGAAAGTAATACATTTAGAAACAAACAAAAAAGTAGGCTTCTAGCCCTTGTAGTAAAGGATGAGGACTCAAATCTATGAACAGACCATCTTCTGAAAACTCGGAAGCAAGGTGAGAAGAATGAAAAATTAAAAATGTATTTTAAAATCAATATTTGGATGAGGAGCAGGCTCATATGGTGTGTGAGTAGTGTCACACCGTGCAATGGCAGTGTTGACTGCAGGGGTGTTACATTCTCCAGAAATGAACTCCTGGAATACAAGGGTATGGCTAACATGCCATACGCTGTATCCATAACCTGGTGCAAATGGGATCAAAATGGTACCATTAAGTGATATTTTCAGCTTCTATGTCCCAGTGGTTTCTTACACACAGTGTTTTGCTGGGCCATAGCGCTGCTGTAGAGAGACTGGTGTGTTCCTGCAGGGTGGTTGGGACTGACAGTGGGATGCCCTGAGGGGTGTAGAAGGAAAGCAGGAGGCTTCAGGCTTCATCCTAGTGCAATTGGTGCTGTTTCAGTTGAGCTAAACCCTGGTTTGTCTCCCAAAATACATAAACTGCAAAAGTGCATCACCTTGAGCATCCATGAAACTTTGTGGCATCACTTGAGTTTAATTTATAATCTGCTCGACAGATAGCAGTGGTCTTAAACTGATCCTAACAAATCCTGAATTCAAAACAGTGTATTTGCATCTGGGTCACAAAGCCAACCCTCTCAACCTGTATCCAGACATTCATATAGCTCAGACTGTAAATTATCCAGGAAGACAATATTTTCATGCACTAGTGCCATCCCAGCTCAGCTTTTTGATGATATTCTCTGCTCAAACTGGACTTGTTTGCAGCCACTCTCTGTCTCTGTCACTCCATATATATCCTAGACATTGAAGACTGGGGACATATTTGGGAAAAGGATGAAGGGTAGAGATTGGAGGTATGTAAAAAGCCATCATAAAAATAAAAGAACATCATGTGGGACACTAGTTTACTAGAAGTTATACTTCAAATAAAATGCTAATCTTAATTCCTACATCCTTTAGGGAAAAACAAACAAACAAAAACCAACAGGCAACAGCTTTATGAACTGTGTAGTTCTGTCTTCTCCTGTCATAGCCCTAACCTGACCTCTAAAACCATTCTCTGTGGCAACTTGCTTCCAGGCTTCTTATTCCTGCCTCACCATTTCTTCTCTCCATCTGTTGGGCAACAACAGCTTGGAAAAAGATTAACTAGGTCAAAAACTAGCAGTTCCCACTTTGAATGTCACACATGCCTCCTTTGTTGAGCATGGAAGATTAGGAGTATATTGCTAGAAAGGGAATTATGGGTCCCATCATCTAAGCACATGCAATGAATATTCAAAATTAATGTACCTAAAAAGACAGCAGAAAACCTAGAGAGACAAAGAAAAAAAAAAAAATCAAAACCCTCCCAAGTAGATAATTACATTTATTTAATTCCACACTGCAATGTGTAGCACAGAAAAAGGTATAATGATCTCTTTCTATAAAATAATTCTATTTCTGATTTTGAGGACAGAGACTGTGTATTTATTATGTTTGGCTTTTAAAGTGCCATATCTGTACAAAAAAAACTTCATAGAAGAGGGAAAATCTGCTGAAGAAATAACTAGGTCATGGTCCTAAGGAATTTAAATGAGATTTAAGGAAGTATATTCCAAACTGATAACTGACACAAAGCAGTGTACATGTGTAAATATGATAGGCAAATACTAGAAAGCTTCATGGAATACATACATTTTTCTGGTTGCTTTTTAAAGAAAAATGAATACATGAGATGGGAAATTACGATGGACACATAAAATGTGATGCCACATGAGCAGAAAGCTGAAATTAAATGTGTGACCTATATCATGAAACACAACAAAATCTGCTTAGCTGGTTACTGGGGAGGAGAAAAGATACTGTATTTGGCTGAAACCACAGGGGCAATGTAAGGAGGCTGAACTGAATTATCTGAAATGAAGTCAGCTAGGACACCAGTGAAACGACCTGGAAAATAACTGCCCGGGCTTCACCTCAGTAAATGTCAGTGACCAAGACCAATAACACATCTAAACAGCACTGCCCCCTTCAGCACAGCTCACTTGAAAAACAAACAGGATAAAAAAAAAAAAAAAAAAAAAAAAAAAAAAAAAAAAAGAAAAAGGTGAAATGCACTTTATAGTTTTGACCTATTTCATTCAAAACTAAAAGCTTCTGTATAAATCCCTAGATGGTTGCCAGCACAGTGCAAAAGGCAGGACAAGAAGGTGTGTCATATTTGTACAAAGTCCTGAAAAATGTAGAAAGCTTTCAAAATAACCAAGGATGCACCTGGAATCAGGTGTGTCCTTTCCTACGGTAGTTTCCCTTGTTGTCTCGTTTGGTCCTGGCTAGGTTAGAATGATAGAAATGTTTCAGGGATGCTAAATGGGAAGGTTTCTCCTTCCAGGGCCAGGAAGCCAGGAGGAGGGTGGTGTTTGCAGGGCAAAGCCCCTTGCACAAATCACGAAAGATTTCATCGACCAGCTGAGAGAAAAAACTAATCCAGCGATTTTTATCCAGACCCTGCGCAGAGCGAACCTGATAGGCACAGTAAACACTGGTGAAAAGGAGACGGTCAAACTCTGCTACAGGCAAGTGGGTGTCGGTCAGTGAATAATATCTCAGATGCTGCTCAATCTCTGTCTGTGTTTTGGGAACTTCGTTCTCTAAAATCCACATGAACTGCCGTGCCGGGCGCAGGGAGGCCAGCTCTTCATCCCGCAGCCGGACTGTCCTGTTGGCCTGAATATCCAGCCCTCCCCAGAGCATCTGGAAGAGAAGAGCAGCATGTGCATGGGAAGCCCAGCACAAACCCTCCGCCAGCTCTAAAGCCATCTGCAACGCTGCCAGACCTCGGGCCGGCCCGAGAGGCGGCCGCTCCCTGACTCGCTGCCCACGGCCCGCCTAGTCCCACTCCACGTCCTTCTCTCCAGCCCCACACCCTTTTTCTGACCCGCTCCACACCTCGGTTTCCCTGTGGGACCTGTCCAAGCTCTCGCCTCCCGCCCTGCCTCTCGCGCCGCAGTCCCACCCGCAGCGGCTCCCCAGCACGGCCACCTTGGGTGGGGGGTTTGGCCACTTGGTGGGGGAGACCCCTAGCCCAGTGGGGTGGTCCCCTGTCCCACCCCAGAGGTCTGAGGTGCCATGGAGGGGGTCAGAGCCCCCATTCCGCTGCACCCCACAATGGAAGGGAGCACAAAGGCAACTCGGGCATCGCTGAGGGGTTTTCCAGGCACTCCCAAAATCCATCAGGATGGAACAAGGAGAACAGGTGAGTTTTTACGTGCAGGCAGGTGGGAGCACAGGCGCTAACAGTGACTCAGCACATGGGCCCCCAACGCCCAGGAGACCTCTAACATGACGTCTGCGTCCTCTGGGCTGCGACGGGGTGGGTTGGCGTCAGCACCATCCCAGCTGCGAGGATGTTCATCTGGAAGACATCAGGCAGAGTTTGGTAGCACAAGACCATGGCCCTTCCTGTTTGTTTTTGTCATGTGGCTGTCAATAATGTCTTCAACATTTCTGAGCTGCCACTCATAGCATGCCAAACACGACAGATGCTGACCACGGGATTTGCATGAGCAAAACAAGCTTTTTAAGAGAAACAGATACAGTTAAGTGAGGCAAGTGTAAATTTTGGATATGATGGCCTTTAATCCTGCCAACACAGCTAAAGCATACGCAGCCAAGGCACTTGCTTTGACAGGCAGCAATGAAGCCCCTCGCACCGAGTGTGGGTGGGTTTTGAACTGATGGGTTTGGGTTGCTTGGCAGCTTTTGCTGGAGAAATTAATGCTGCCCAACAGAAGGAGGGTGCTGGGAGGCTCCTCAACCTGCTGGTAGAAACACAAACTGATGTTTATCTTAATTTTATACCTCTTCCCTGAGCATCTGCCACTGGCAGGGGCAGAGTATGAAGGTAAAAGAAACCTGGTCAAATCCATTATGGCTCTTCCCATGTCCAGCTAATTCTTTGCTGGGCCACCCAACAACATTTAAATGGGGGAAAAAATGGATACAAGGCCAGAGGAATGGGAATTTATTAATATGAGAGTCACATCAATCCTAAGAATTCTTCAAGTTTCATTTACTAACACTTCTAATGCTTTAAATTTCTGCATTTATTTTGCCTTTGCTATTTCTTTGGGAAACAGGAGATACAAGTAGCCTCGGACCAGGACTGTGAGAGGGAGGCTGCATCCCCTCCCTTCTCTGTGTTGATCAGAGTAGTCATGTAGCCAAGACCCTCTTCTATTTACAGACTCATCCTTCAGGTCAAGAAACATGAAATGGAAAAAGCTTGTATAAAACAGTAAGCTGACACTTTTTTCCCCATTTTTATATGGATGAAGGATTTTTTCTAGAAGAAAGAGGGAGAATTTATGTTGAGTACTCCAGAGTTAAGGTCAGTAGCTGCTTACAAAAAGTAGAAAAATTATTTAATACTGTATGTGTGTGATGACTACTATCGAACCCCACTTCCAAGTTTCCATTCTTGATTAAAGCTTTTCAGGGAGATGTATGAGCTGCCTGAAGAAGTGCACTGCCACCCCCCAGGCTGTGGAGATTTGTTTCTCTGCACAGCTGCAGGCTCCCTGATCCAAGCCAGCTGTGGCTTTGGAATGTGAGCAGGGAGGTAGCTGCTCTTTTCAACTCCTCCGTGGGTGTGCCAGCAAGGTTTTTAGCTCAGGTGAAGATACAGCAGCACCTGAAAATTTCTTTGCTGGTCTCCTCTGGGCTAACTGCTCTGCTAAGTTCACAGATCCCTCTACTGAGACACATCTGACTGGCTGCAAAGTAAGTGAATTTTTGGAATAGCTGCCAGAACTACTGTTATTAGTAACTGTGTCATAAATATATGCAGCGTTGGATTTTTGAGTAAAACAAAAATTAAACAAAGCATAACAAATAATGGATTGAAATAATAACATAAATATCTTCTGGAGATGGGAGAATGGTCCCTTACTTACTTTGCCATTCAACAGGGTTTTTTATTCCCCAAGAAGTGTATAGGAAATCCACAAACATTATTGCAGGAGCAGACTTGTTCAGTGAAGACCCAAGAATACCCTCCCCCTGCCACCAGATCCAACAGCAGGTCTTCATCCTGCAAGTAGGTACAAGTGCCTCCTGCAGTGAACAAGCCCAGCCGGCACCCCAGCTCTCTCCCATCACAGCGCAGCTCCCTGAAGCGTTTGACCGTACTCGAAGAAGCAGGGAAAGCGTTGTGCCACTGGCGGGGCCCGAAGGTTTGCCAAGCCAAGAAGCCACATCGCTAGCAGGTGAGCATCCTACCTGTCAGCCTCTGGGATCCAGCAAACACACACAGGACCAGCCAGGCGTTGAGCTGCCCAGGGGCCATAGCAGCCCTGCCCGGTGCAGCTGCCACCCGCTCCACTCTGGGGCCAGCGAGAGCCGTTTGCTGTGGCGTCTTCCCTTGCTGCTTTTGGTCCCAGCAGCCTCTGTTGGAATGAAGCCATCGTTCTGTGTTTCTGGTCGCAGTCCTGGGAAGGGCTTGCAGCTCAACTTGCTGAACCCGAAGGATATTTTCCATCATATTTTGGAAACTTGAAAGAATTTGTTTTGAAGTTTTTGGCAGAATTGTTTAAACTTCTTTTCCAAAGACTGATTTCCCACTGCAACTTATTATAGGAACCCCTCAGTTGCAAGAAATTTCACTACATGATTGCCTCTGAAGAAGAGGGGACCTTCTGGTCCCTTCTCCCTCTGCACAGTGTCTCTGTCACATCTCTATGACACTTCTGCTCATCTCCTTGGCTTCATTTTCAGTTTTCCTTTTTCCTGAGTTTGAAAATCTGCAAACAATCCTAAAGTGTCACAAACAGATAAGGCTAGCAGTCTGGGCAGATTCATGGAAGGGCAGTAGCAGCCAAAATATACAAGCAGGCGGAAGAAATGTCCCTCGTCCAGTTCTGTATCAAAGCTCCCAGAGGGAGAATTCAATATACTGATCTAGCCAACAAGGATCAGAGCCAGCCAGGCTTTAGCACCTCATCTTCCTCTCCTATGACAAGACTTCTGGGTTACGATGAGCATGATCTGCCTTAGGTGTTGTGAGTTACATGGATGAAATGCCATCTGATTCCCTTCACACCTGGTAGCTGTTCTCTACACATCTTCACACTTCTATTAGTGTCCAATCCCCGGTCAAGCTGTTCTGGCACAGTATGGTCCTGGGTTCTCCAACAGGTTCTGGGAAGCCAGGGTTATACAAATATGTAATAATAAGTATAAAAAAGTAATAATGCCATCTCCCCAGGTTAAAAGGGGAAAGAAGTCTGCCTAGAAAAGAGAGGAGGTGGAGCTGAAACACATTTCTCCACAAGTTATAGGGTGCCAGTTTGATGTGACTACTGTCACCAGAGAGTTTACTGAGGGTGGGGATGTTGTTCTAGTCAGTAAGTGGTCAGTGTGCAAAGTAGCATGTCTTCTGAAACTTCCAGACCTGCACCTGTACCTGGCAACATGTGGGTTCACACCAGCTGTGAGGAAAAGCAGCACGAAATGGCAGAGTCCCAGATTTGTCACGGAGAGAGGGGCCCTCAATATCAAGAACCATACCCTCAGTTTGGATCAAAATAAGACCTGTGTTTCTGTCATAACCCTGGCTATCTTCAAGTCAGGCTACTCTTCTTTCTGTTTTCAGTTTTCTGACCTTTACACTTTAGTTGCATCCCTTTTTTCTGGGATGAGATAACTTTCGTTAAACTTTGAATTAGGTGCTACTTAAGAGGCAGAGGCTCTTGATCCCTCTGTGCAGTAAGATTCATGTGCCTTTTTTTTTTGTGCCAGAGTCCCTTACAATCCACAGTGTACGCATGACTTTGTCTAAAGTCTCTATGCAAAAAACCCCTGTGTCTCATGGGCCATGAAGTAGCCTCCCTTTAGTGTGCAACACATGACACGAGGAGCAGACCAGGATTTTGGCCAACATCTGTGAAGGCCGTATGTGATTTTGTCAACGGGAAAATTTCCTAGGAACAGCTTGCAGCTGAAGTGCCTAGAGGAGGATGCCTGTGTTGTTGGGAGGGAGAGGAGAGGAGACTCAGAGGCGGTGCTTTGGTGACTGATACAGTGGCAGGCAGCAGACAAGCATCAGTGGTAGGTGTTGCCTTGAGCTAGGGGGATTGAGTAGAATTGCCTTACTATCCTGCACAGAAAGGGAATTGCAGAGTGATGAAACATATGCCTTTGTTGTTTGTAAAGCAGCAATAGTTTTATGGTGCACAGAAACAAGCCTGAGTTTCTGACAGCTGCACATAGTCCCTGCATGTACGATGGCAATGTCAGGCGGTGCACCTGCTCCTCCTGAGGGATTTTGTCCTTGCCAGGTATTCACAGCTGAACGTGCACAACCCTGCCCCTCTGCACTCCCCCTGGTCATACCGTCTGTTGTAGGAGCCCTTTCAAAACATCACATCAAGCCAGGTTTCTGCAGGGGCACCTTGACTGGTTTCATCGTTCCCACCATGACCTCCTGAAGCAGGAAGGTGGGAAAGAGGAACACGATATGAGTCGTCAAAAACTGCAGGTAGATTGTTGGTTGAGGCACAATGTGTGGTCAATACAGCACCAGAAAAGCCTCTTCGGGAGGGAGGTTTCTGCAGGGAGATAGGCAGCATCTTCATGAAAGGGAAATTCTGTTTATAGAATTGGAGAAATTTCTTGCTTAGAACATCTTGCCCAGAACTTGGGGAGACCACAGTCCCCAGCCTGGGCCTGCCTGGCAGCTGCTCTGGGGAGAAAGATGAGAAGATGGTGGCTGAGAAAAGAGTGGAAGAAAGAAGGATATACATGGCTCCCAGGGTTTGAGTAACTGGAGGGGAAGAAGGAAGAAAACTGAGGAAAGTAGGAGTGAAGCACTGACAGTAACCAGACAGGACCTCCACTGTTATACTGGTATTTTCCAGGTATGGTGCTGCTGGCCCTTATGGAAATGCTTTGTGTGTCTTTTTCTTTTGGTTTGTGAGTGGCTCCACTGCTGGAAATAGTGATGGGCTGTGTAATCGTGACAGGAAGGGCCCCATCCCACTGCACCTAATGCACTAAACGTCCCCCCCTCAGGCCTCACATGACTTGGAGATGTCATGGGATGCAGTGTGATGGGTGATATGGGGCATGGTGTCACCCAGCCTGTCCCTCAGTAGTGCCATAAGCTCTGTTCTGCAGGAGTGCAAGGCCCAGCTGAAATCCCCATCCGGATTTTGACTGGGGATCAATTATCAGGGCCTATACAAACTGTGGCCATGATGCAGGAGGATACCCTGACACTGTCAACAGCTACATCCTCAGGGAGGAGAGTCTGCTCGCCTGGATGTAGGGAGAAATGCCAGAGTTCTGGAAAACACCAGCAAAACCTCATCAGCTGGGGAAGCTCAACATGGTGACTGTGAGTCATCACCTAAAGTCTATTCGGCCCCACAGTACCAGAAACTCTCTTCTGAAGAGCCTGTCTGTAAGTCAGCTACATCTGACTTACATCTCATCCATCAGCCTCCTACACCTGGGAAATCCAACCCAAGCGAACAAGCCTTGTGGAGGCTGGCAGTGTGGTCCAGGCAGGGACAGCGGACTTGGAAGACAGCTTTGTGCTTGACCAAGCTGACCACTGCCCCCTCCAGCACGAAGCAAGTGCCCACCAGCCACAGGGAACCCAGAGAGAGTGGGCTCTGTAGGCAAGGAAGGCCACTGGAGCTCAGGAGCAGTGGAGGAGGCGGTGTGCCAACACTGGCAGTACTTTGTGAGGCTGTGTAGCCTCCTGTGCCCTGGGATAATGTGTCTGGGTGAGTAAATTGCCCTCTTCCTAACCTCCCAGGTTTCCCTAAGAAGAGATTTGGGTCCATTAGCAACTATGCCAGGCCAATGCCTGTCCCCACAGGGGTGGCTCCTTTTCCAGCACACACATTCTTCAGCAAACCTTGCGTGCTGTCTGACTTGACAGGGCACTGTGTCTAACATTTCTTAATGTTACGTCAATCAAATTCTCCCTCTGCACAAACATTATGTTCAAACAGCAGTTTTCCTTCTGTTCCTGCTACCATAAGTCTTCTGACTTACTGTACTGGGAAATACTTATTTTTACAATACACAAACCATGAATTTTGGCATGGTGCCTCAAGCAACCTGGGATGGGGGAAGAGAGAACGTGGTGGGGAGATGTGCTTTATAAAGAATTTTCACAGTAACAGAAGTGGTGCCAGGAACTTTTGTGTCTTGCGCAACAGGCATCACCATGCAAAAAGAGCCACTGTAACAGAAAACAGAACCAGCTGTGGAACATGTTGTAGGAAGGACTAAAAGTACATTTCCTATTTAATCAGCTCAATTGATGGCAGATCAAATGGAGTAAGAACTGTACAAAGCCTCAAACTTCTGCTGATTCATGTTCCCTTCTCTTTCCTCTTTCCCATACAGAGCTGTAACTTTTAAGGTGAGTGGCAAATGCTATTAACTAGAGAACACTAGTCTGAGTCACATCCCAAACACTGCCAGCCACAGCAGCCTGAAACAAATTTTTAGAATTAAAAAAAAAAAAAAAGCCCATGCTTACAAGGCTGGGGTGGACACAAACACGAAACCTGATTGTTTAAAACAGATCACATTCTAGTCATGAGTACTTGACCCTTTCTTAATTTCTTATCCCTTCCTCCATCCCATACTCTAGCCTTCCCCAAACCTTCTTTAATTAGTGCTTTTACAATTTAAAAGCTTAAGTAGTGATTCAGAGAATCTCTACAAACAGCTTGTGAATTCTTTTATGAAATCTCTTATACAATATCCTTCAGATCTTAATGAGGTCAGTCAGTTTTCTGATGCAGAAATGTGTTACGTATTTTCTGGACTAGGGACAAGGGGCATTATTAATTGATGACTGCTGTAATGTAATCTCATTTAAACAGGGGGTGGGTGGACTGAAACTACAGGATTTTTTCCAGCTTTTTTGGAGAGAGCTAAGATTTTCCACAAGAGCAAAGATAGTGGTAATGCTATTATATCATACAGCTCAAAATAATTGGAATAGTGACAAAAAGGCATAGACTCTTGCCCGTGGGACAAGGGAAGGGAGATATTCTTGACTGCAGGGAAAAGCATGATCTGAAGATGCTAGAAAAATTAAAGACTGCTTGATTGTGAAGAAAAAGCCAGCATGAGGGAATGGCATGTGAGAGGTTACCTGCAACTCCTCCTTCTGCCAGGACACGCACTGACATAATTCCCAAGGAAACAATGCAGAGATTTCCACAATTGTTTTGGACTGGATCCAGGTATGTCTTGTATTGTCCTAAACCCAACTGTATTAGAACCATTTAAAAAAGCCTTGCCTGTTTGCTGTATAATTACGGTCTCCCCAACACCCATCTTGGAGCCGAGACACACCTGTCCCATTGCTCAAGCTACACAGTTGCTTCAGTACAGTCTCCTAAGGAGTGCTCAGGTTATGAATTATGCCTGCAGGGACACAGAGCAGAAGCAGTGTGTATAAAGCATCTTAGACACAGGGAATGCCTGGACTC